GTGGCCCGTATCCAGAGCTTGTTGGCTGCCTCATGTACCTGATGACCTGCACACGACCTGACCTTTCATACCCTCTTAGCATTCTCGCATGCTATGTTGCTCCTGGGAGACACCGACCAGAGCACATGGCTACAGCGAAGAGGGTGTTGCGCTACTTGTGCAGTACGTCGGGCATGGGGCTAGTGCTTGGAGGGCGGAGTCTAGTAGTCCTCACTGGGCACGCAGACGCTTCTTGGGCTGATGACCAGGCTACGCAGCGGTCGTCACAGGGTTACACCTTCAGCCTTGGTTCTGGCTCTGTTTCGTGGCGGGCTACTCGCTCGTCTTCTGTTCTCGGCTCCAGTTGTGAGGCTGAGATCTACGTAGGGGCCATGGCTGCACAGGAGCTTCGCTGGCTCACCTACCTGCTGACCGACCTTGGAGAGTCGCCTCGTTCTCCTCCAGTCCTGTACGTAGACAACAAGGCCATGCTGGCCTTGTGTCGAGAGCAGAGACTGGAGCACAGAACAAAGCACATTGCTCTTCACTACTTCCTTGCTCGTGAGCTACAGCAGCGTGATTAGTTGCGGCTTGCGTACGTGGCCTCTGAGGCCAACACTGCTGATGTTTTCACCAAGGCACTTGCGCCTTGTCATCATCAACGCTTCTGCACCCAGCTGGGTCTTGTACCTGTCTTGCCTCACTTGCTCACCTCTTGACCTTGCTTGTACTGTTACATATATATATACCTGCTCTTGCTTGTCTAGCCTTATATATATATGTGTACTCGTGCATGTGAACTGGCCTTGTGGCCTTGAACTTGTGCTCGGAATGTGTGGTGACTTTTTGATCCACCCTGAGCTTGCTTTGCTTTGCTTTGCTTGACTGGTCTTGTGACCCCTTGTTCTCCCCCAATTGCCTATGGGGGTGTGTCAGAACATATAGCTTGTGCTTATTGTGTAGGCTATAGTGGGGTAGCCCATAAGGGGTACAGCCCAATTAGGGTCAGTACTTGTACTCAGTTCATTCATAGTTCATTCATTCTCGTTTCTACTTTCTCAATACGACCCCACTGATGACAGCTGGGTTGCAGAAGCTGATATGGGCAACGCACTCCGTGCTCTCAAGGACTATCTTGTCAAGGACTATCTTGTCAAGCAGGGTGTTTCTCACGCCACCCAGCTTTGACGGGGGGACGTGTGAGAGTACGATGGCTTATGCTGGCTTTGCTAGCTTGCCTAGACTTTATTATGCAATATCTAGCTTGGGTTTTATTTATCGTGCATAGATATGCTTGATTTCCTACGTTATGTGCGTTCCTATATTTTATTATAGTTATAGCACCGAACCAGGTTACGTGTAGCGAACTCAAGCATATTCGGTTTCCACCGAATTGCTTTCTATCAAGTTCGGGAAGGTTCTGTTCGGGACGCTTCGCGACCCTCAAAACATCCGTGTAACACCTGGGTTACCTGCCTTGTGTCGAGACTGTATACAGCCTCGTGTTGTTCCCAGGTGGAGCATTCAATTCAAACTCTTTTTTCTGAGCTCGATCCTAGATCCTCACAAAGATGGTCTGTAGGGAACAGTATTGGGACCCAAAGAACTCCGTGAGTACGCTATCGGACCGGTTCGGGAAGTAGGGGTCGCGAGCCGTCTATCGCGCCGATAAGATCGATTTGTCAAGGGGGGTGATTGGCCGTGGGAGAAATATGGAGAGGAGTTCGCAAGAAGGGTGGATGATCAAGAAGAGTGTGGAAGGGTACCGGCGCTCAAGGAGCGCATCACTCGGGTGTGGTGCCTGGAGAGGGCACAATGCATTCTGGAACTATACGGGGGCATTGGGACGGGGTTGGCGGCTGCACTGAAAGCGGGTTGCTTCGTCCGGAAGTGAATCCATGTGAAGAAGGATCCCGTGGTGAGGCGGATGGCGAGGCATCACGCACAAAAGCTGTTGGAGGAATACCCACAGCAAATGCTGATTACGGCTATCCCTACTGAGGAGGAGACCGTGGACGATGTCCGCCACATCACAACGGGACAGATAGACACGTGGAGATAGATAAACCTGGTGGTGGCGGGATGGGAATGTCGAGGATACTCCCATGCTAGGGAAGGAAGGGGAATGAATGATCCTCGTGGAGCCTCGTTCCTAGAGCAGAAGTGGGTGCTGGAGCTGATTCAAATAAGGGGGGATACTTTTTGTATATCCACGAAAATGTTGACATGACGGACGATATGCGCTTGCCAGTGCAGGAGGCCTATGACGAGATCTATGAGGTCTTCGGGAGGGGTGTAGTAGCAGACGCCGCACAGCTACGTTCAAGGGCTTATCGGCCTAGGCAATATTGGCAGAAGGGTGCCTCGGACGCAAACTTGCTTCACTCTCCAATCTAGATGCAACTACCACACCCACGGCTGGTAGAGGACATCCTCTGACCAAACGGTCTGTCGGCTTCGGTTAAATTCGAGGGCCATCCGAAGCAATACCGATACAACAAGCCAAGAGAGCCCAGATGCGCTTGGCCGAGTCTCATTCCAGGATGTCGGGGGCCAGGAATGTGTTTGACACCCGCACGCGTACATGGGAAGAGCCGACAGCAGCAAAAAGGGACGCGGCTATGGGACACCTATGGCAGGCGACGAGTCATCCCTCGGTTACAAAGCAGCAGAGGAGGACGGCTCTAGGTAGGTCCGTGGACGTGAACGTCATGACGTCGAGATGAGCAGGATGCACTTGAAAACAAAGGAGATCGAACGGGAGATCGAGTTTAGCAAACGGCACTAGGAGAATTCGAGGTTCGCCTGTGGGCCAGCGGAATGACCCTGCCGTCTTCTAGCGGACTATGGATGTGGTGCTGCGAGGGATACCGTCCGCATCCTGCTACATCGATGATGTTGTGGTATTCAGCCACCCTGAAAAGTGCAGGTTTGAGAGCATCAGTTTCTTGTCGGCGTAGATCTCTCGTCCGATATTTTCTCGTGACTTGGATCATCTTTTTCTATCGACCCTCATTGTCCGTGAACAAATAACCAATTTGCACATCCGGTTTCTTTACCTCTTTCTTCCCTCCTCATCACTTTCTTTCCTCCTCCCCTCACTCATACCTTCCCTTCAGGAATATCGCTTCAACCTGATCTTCATCAAACGGTTCATCATCCTCTTGCATGCCTCCGGGACCAATGGCTCCAGCACCTCCTGTAGGTCCAGCTCCAGCAGTTCCTCCAACTTCAGCAGCTCCAGTACCTCCAATACGAGCACCTCCTGAACCAGCAGCTCCAGCACCTCCAGCAGCTCCAGCTCCAGTAGTACCTCCAGCTCCAGTAGTACCTCCAGCTCCAGTAGCTCCAGTACCTCCAACACGAGCACCTCCAGGACTAGCGGCTCCAGTACCTCCAACAGCTCCAGCTCCAGTAGCACCTCCAACTCCAGGGCCTCCAGCGGTAGGCCCCTCAGCTCCAGCAGAACCACTCCGGAGGCTCCACCGTAGAGCAAACCACTCGCGCAGCTGTAGTGGAGAGAGAGACTCCCGCCGTGACACGACACCCAACGGACCTACAGGCTCAGCACAATCGGACTCAGCACCCCCGAGCTCAGCACCCCCGGGCTCAGCACCTCTGGGCTCCGCAAGCTCAGGCTCAGCACCCCCAGGCTCCGCACCCTCAGGCTTAGCACCCCCAGACTCAGCAACCCCAAGCTCAATACCCCCAGGCTCCGCACGCTCAAGCTCAGCACCCCCAGGCCCCGTACGCGCAGGCTCAGCACCCCCAGATGCAGGACTCCTAGCAGCACCAGAGTCGACAGCTACCTCGACATGCTCGACGAGGTCTACCTAGGACACAACTGAGGGAGCAGGACCCTGAGGGGGGAGGGGGTCTACCGGAGGAGGACTTGGTGCGGGGAAGAGCGGCGAGGGAGGGAGAGGGGCAGTGCGATAGGGGAAGAGACGGTAAAAGGGAACCGACTCGTCAAACGTGACGTCCTGAGAGGACAGGACACGGAGAGAGGTGGGGTGGTAAAACTGCCAACCAGGCGCGTCAGGGGGAAAGCCAAGGAAGACGCAGGGAACGGCGCGGGAGGAGAGCTTGTCTATGGAGGTATCGCGGACAAAAGCACGACATCCCCAGACCTGGAACATCGACGCATCGCCAACCTCTCTCGTCCAACACAGTGTGGGCGAGGTCTCCGGCAAGGAGACACGGGGCCAGAGGTTGAGCCGATGCGCAGCGTACTGGACTGCAAACGGCCACAAAAAATGGGGGGCAGCCGCATGGATCATGGAGGTACGAGTGACCTCCATGACTAAGCCAATGCGGCGCTCAGCAACCCCATTTTGCTGCAGAGAGGCCGGAAGCATGAACGTCTGGCGAATGCCCTCCCCACGACAAAAGTCCCGCAGGAGGTCAGAGGAAAACTCACCACCTCTGTCAGAGTGCAGCCGCAGGACGGGAAGGTCCGTCTCGAACCGCTCGCGGAGCTAGAGACCAACAGCGCGGATCCAAAGGGTCAGTACATCAAGGTATCCCCCTTGCGGCGCAAGGGGAAGACCATGGTGTAACGTGTGTAGTCGTCGACAACCAACAGAAAGTACCGCTCGCGGCCCTATCCACGGACGCGGGTTGGGCCCCACACGTCCAGGTGGAGAGTCTGCAGGGGAGCCTCTGTCGAGGGGAACGAGGAGGAGTGAGGAGCAGCGCGCTGCCTCCCCTTGACACAGGGAAGGCAGGGAGGGGCAGGCGAGGGTGGGAGGGGAGGCAGATACCTCGGAAGACCAAAGACAAGGAGACGGGAGTGCATGCCACGGAGGCGTGCCACAGAGGGGTGACCAAGGCGGTGGTGCCAAAGGAGCGTCTGGTGCGACAGGGCGCGACACGAGCAGGGGGCCGCAAGCTGGCGCAAACGCAACTACCTGTGGAGGCGCAGTAGTCAGTGTGTACAGACCCGACCCAGGCCGACGGTACTGGGTGTGGAGCTTCCCGCATGTCTGACCAGTGCGGTCACCTGTGCGAATGACATATGGTCAGAGACCACTACCCCCAGCCGCCCCACTCTGAGCAAACCACTCACGTAGCTCTTGGGGCGAAAGGTGACCCTGCTGATGCCTCTGACCACCGCCCAGGCCTCCCCTCTGACTCGTACCACCCCGGCCGCCACCACTGCCACCGCCTCCACTCCCGCTGCCGCCACCACTGCCGCCGCCACTACCGCCACTGCCGCCATCACTGCCGCCACATACACCTCCACCCCCACCACCACTCCCTCCGCCACCGCCGCCCCCTCCACCGCCTCCACCGCCCCCACCGCCTGCACCTCTACCGCCCCTATCGCCCCTGCCTCCCCTGCCCCTGCCGCTACGGCGCCTCCCACTAGGGGCAAGCGCAGCTCCTACCTCCTCAACACGAAGGTAGTCAACAGCTGCAGCAGAGGCGACTTAGGGGAGAAGGGGGGAGGGCGAACACCCCTCAAAGAAGGGGGTGCGAGGAGTGCCACGAGAAGCGCCTACAGCGACTATGCTAGTCTCAACTGCAAGGAGGTGCTTCTCAAGCAGGTCGACAGTGAGGGTGGTGGGGTCAACGGCTAGAAGGAGGTACCTGATAGCGCTAAGAGAGTCAGGGAGGCCGGTGACTATGAAGTAGAGAGTGATGTATATGGGAGGAGGGTTCTTGGTGAGAAACTTGGCGGGAAGCGCAACGCGGTTGCAAGTGTCACTAGTACTAAGGTGAGAGACGAGGTCGGCTACTGTGGCAAAGGCGGACAGCTCTGGGAAGAGGTAGGGCAGGTGAAGGCGGCCTAGAGAAACAGTGGCCGGGGAGGAGTAACGAACGACTACAGCGTTGTATAGTGTTTTCGCTGTCTTGTGCTGTCCGAAGTGAGCGCGTTCGGCAAACGGCAGGTGATTACGAACGGCTAAGCAAGCAGCAGCATCACAAGTAAGCCACAGTGAGCGAGTCGTATTGTCAGCTGTTGTGGCAGGGGCGAAAGAGGCGCAAGACGTGAGGTCAAACAGTGAGACTCCGTCCTTGGAATCGCTCAGTAAGAGCAGTTGTAGGTCGTCGAGCCACGCATCGAACTCCATCGGGCGGCCCTCCGGATTGAACATGAGGACACTCAGCGTGGCCATAGCGGGCAGAGCGGTCTGGCGCGCTAGCAGCAGAGTAGCACGCAGGCAAGGCAAAGCAGGGCGGTGGCCAGCAGGGCGACTCTCAGAGCAGTAGCGCGGAGTAGGGGAGGGCGGCAGTCAGTAGGGCAGGGTGGCGCGGCTGTTGGCGGCGCTCAGGCAGGGCGGTGCGGCTAGCACGTGCAGGGCGGCGCGGCCAGCAGGGCTGTGCAGTAGGGTAGTGTAGTGCAGGGCGGCCAGCAAGGCAGTGATCAGCAGGGTAGTGCAGGCCAACAGGGCAGTTCAGGGCGGCGCTCAGTAGGGCAGGGCGGCATGGGCCAGCAGTAAAGGGCAGTGCAGGCCAGCAGTGCAGGGCAATGCAGGGCGGTGCAGGCCAGCAGGGCAGTGCAGGGCGGCGCTCAGTAGGGCAGGGCGGTGCGGCCAGCAGGGCAGTGCACGGGCAGGGCAGTCGTGCGTGCAGAACAGCAGCACGGAGTAGGGCAGGTGCACGGGGCAGAGCTTATACGTGCAGGCAGGGCAGGGCAGTCGCGCTTGCTGGCACTACAGTGTGCAGGGCAATGACAGTAGTGCAGTAGAAGTAGGGCAGATGCAGTAGTAGGGTGGTAGGGACAGCGGGCCGGCGAGGTGTAGGGCCAGTGCAAGTGCACGGGCGGCAGGGCAGGTGCGCACCGGCCTGGTGCGGGCTGTGCAGACTGCGTGCGGGCCTAGCGCGGGCTGTACTGGCTGCGTGCGGGCCAAGCACGGGCTGTATGGGCTGCGTGCGGGCCTGGCGCGGGCGGTACGGGCTGCGTGCCAGTCGTACGCGGGCTGTACAGGCTATACGCGGGCGGCGCGCGGGCTGTATGGGCTGCGCAAGGGCGACGCGCGGGCTGTACGGGCTACGCGAGGACGGTTCGCGGGCTAAACGGGCCTGGCGCGAGCTGTACGGTCTACGCTCGGGCGGTTCGCGGGCTAAACGGGCCTGGCGCGGGCTGTACGATCTACGCTCGGGCGGTTCGCGGGCTAAAACGGGTAGATTTCAGGGCTGGAAAAAATGCTTAACGGTGGGCCCTCTAAAAAATGGTCCTTATGAAGGACCCGCTCTATACCATGTCGAGAAGAATAGGATGGTCATTAGGTCAAGGGGAGGGGTACAAGATCAACATCGAGTGAAATTCTGTACCCCCTAGTGCTAACACCGATATAGCCTAAACAACATAAGCATATATGTTTTGACAAGGGGGGGGGGGGGGGGGGGGGGGGGGGAAGAAGCTGCCCCGCGGCTACATAGAGGCGGCGCGCGGGTGCACGAGGCGGCGCGCGAGTGCAGCGGGGCGGCGTGCGGGTGAACGGGGCGACGCGCGGGTGCACATGGCCGCGCGCGGGTGCCACGGGTCGGCGCGCGGGTGCAGCGGGGCGGCATGGGGTGGCGCACGGGTGCTAACAAACCGTCGCGCGCCCTGGGCGCGCAGCGGGCAGAAAACCGCCGCGCGCCTAGGGCGCGTGGCGTGCAGAAAACGCCGCGCGCCCAGGGCGCGCGACAGGCAGGAAAATAGTCACGCGCCCGAAGCGCGCGACTGAAAGAACAGCGGAAGCGAACAGTGGGCCCATTGAGAAAGGTCCTAGGAAAGTAACCGCTCTGATAGCATGTCAAAATAGGTTCCTAACTTATGAGAAGGAACCTAGGGTTTAGGCTAGGCAAGGAAGTATCGAGAGGGTTGCCAAAGCAAGGAGGGGTTTCACTATAGGCTCAAGGGTACAAATATGAAAGAACAAGCATGAGAAGAAAGGTGCACCACCCAACAAACAAGATAACTACACAAAGTCTACACTACAGGAAGTTATAGAGTAATGTATACAATTACATTCTGACAATTTGTTCACGATGTGATAACGTTAGGCAATGAATAAGTCTGATTTTGCCTTGTGAAGTCTGGATACTTCAGACTTGTGTTTTTGCCGAACCTGAAAAATCAGAGTAGCCATTCGCTGGGAAATATGCCCCAGACTAAAAAATTTCAGAGCCCCAGAACATCAGACTGGTTTTTTTTAATTAGTCACCTCTGCAAGGGACTCATTATTTGGTAAGCACGTACTGTACTCTGACTTTCTCAATATTCAGAAGAACATTTGTCTGAAGCACTCATTATTGGAAAAACGCCAACTCTGGAAAATCCGGAATATCAGAAGAGAAGGTCTGAAATTTGAGACAACCAGACTAAAATAGTCTGATAAAATATGCCTAGGCTTCATGCGTGGATTGTGGACAAACCGAGATGGTGTCTTATCTCGACTCTCATTAGCTTGGCTCTCTTGTTAGCATTCTTTGCCATCAACCTTCTTGTCAATCGATCTATGCAAAAGGCGTCAAAGTGTGAATTTCCTGCCTTAAGATAAATATTCTTCTTGATATGGGCTGATCATAGTGTAGTTTATCATCTCTGCATATCGTCTTTCTTCACCGATCGCTCTCCAGTTTAAGGACGTTCCAAAACGAAGCCTTCCAATAACCTCTGTTGGTTTTCTCGATGAAGCTCGCCGTAGCAAGCTTTCAAATATGTTTAGCTTTCCCTTCAATAGCTACACATTCCGCCATGTTTCCAGAAAAGAGAGACCTCTCGTATTTCCTCCCCTTCGGCCCCGCGGCGAGCCTGAGCACGCTACCATCCGACGCGGGATTCGGCGGGAGCCGCGAAGCCGGCGTTACAACCGGCGTAGCTGCCGGAGGCGTCGCCGGTGCCAGCACAAGTTACGGCTTCAGCGGTGCCGGCCAGGCGGGGTTCAACACCGATGCGGCGAACACAGCAGCATCGCGGCTCTGTGCGACTGGGGTGATTGACAGTAGTAACCAGCCGGCGAAAGATAATAACAACCAGACGAACAACAACAATAACAACAACGGCGCGAGCGTGAGCAGCACGCTGAGAGAGTACGCGTGGCCGGGCACCATGGCTCACGCGCTCGCCGCCATTGCCCGTGGTCCCGCCGCTAGCCAGGTGCGCACGGTGGAATCAGCATCAGCTTGACGCTTGTTATTTCACAAAGTTTCATCCCGACTCAAATTTCCCACGTTATTTCGCGCGTTCTCTCACGCTCGTGTTCCCCATGTCGATGTTTTCCTGTCCACGTGGCAGGTGACAAGTGGCAAGACGTTAGCGGACGCAATAATCGACATTCGCAGGCAGCTGAGTCTCAGCGATGGTAACCTTGGGCTCGCAAAAGGCCTCGCTGAATTCTTAGACGAGGTGGGTCGCCGACCTTATCTGATATGCGGGCAATCTTATGAAGAATCAGTAATAATATAAAAGTGCATTTGCTACTGTCCCGTCAGTCACGAACTTTCACCCCTCGCTGCTCGAACGTTGTTCTCATCTCCTTCTCTGCCATTTTCCCCAAACGTACCTGCAGATTCTTCCGGAGGAGGAATCTCAGGAGTTTTTCTTCTCCACGCTGCCCGGAATGGCCTTGCTCGCCCTCCATCTCCCGAGCCTCGTCTCTCAGCAGGCTCGGAGCGTGGCACGGGCCGCCCAAGCCGCAGCGCAGTCCGGCAGCAGCAGGGGGAGCGAGAATTGGCGGAGGGGAACACAGATGACGCTGCAGCTGCTGAGGCCGCAGCAGCCGGGGCTTGTGCTTATAACGCAGGAGCTCACAGCGGCGCTGTTGGTGGGCGCGTTCTTGTGCGTGTATCCGACGGCCGGGCGCGCGCAGGAGAGACTGCCTGAGATCAACTTTGACCGCCTCTATGGGTGAGTGAGCCGCTGGGGGGGAGGTGGAGAGGGGGGAGAATGGGGGGATGGGGGGATGGGGGGATGGGGACACGGTGGTGGGCTTGATGAGTCTGGTCTGGATGGGGCATGCAGCGTGCCTTGGCGTTGCGCTCTCAACGGGAAGATTATTGCATCTGCCTTCGCCTCTGTGCCTCTTCTCGCCCATCTCGCTCCTTACGACGTGCTTCCGACCCTCTCGTCCCTCTCATCCCTCGTACCGTCCACTCGCCCCATGCGCATCCTCTCATCGGTTGCGCACATCCAGGGGCACATCCGCAAGGGTCAGCGCAGTGCAAGGAGAAGTTACGCTGCCTACTGCACCATTCCCACCCGGCCTGTCCTCTCCTCCATGCCTCACAGCATTGCCTCTTACTCCCATCTCTCTCCTCCCCTTTCCCCTTCCCTTCGTCCTCAACCACCCCAGGGGCATATACGAGGGGTGGCCGCAAGAGCAGGAGAAGCTGCGGTGCCTGCTGCACTACTTCCGCCGAGTCGTCGCCTCCATGCCTCAGGGCACCGTCTCCTACGAGCGCAAGGTGCTGCCCCTCACTGCTGTCACCCCCGCCACTGTCACACCCGCTGCTGCTGCCGCTCCGTCAGCCATCCACACGTTCAACGCCCCTGTTATTGACACTCCAGGCCACATGAAGCAGCCGCAGCAGCAGGATGTATATGGCTGGGGTGGGGAGGCAGGGGAGGGTGGAGGGCGGGGAAGTGGGAACATGAGACAAGGCACTGGGAGTTCGCCGCCTGGAAGTGGTGGGAGTGGTGGGCAGGGTGGGCGGCGTGGTAACGGTAGTGGCGGTAGTAAGGGCAGTGGTAACGGCGGTGGTAACGGCAATGGGAACGGTTACGGCAGTGGTTACCAGAGTGGTTCCTGAAGCTCGCCCATGCAGAAAAGCAGCTCCAACCGAAGCCCAGGTCCAACAACAGGCTCGGATCCGAGCCAGGCAGGGTCGTGCGGGAAGGAGGGGGAGGGAGGAGGGGGGCAGGTGCGGAGTGTGGGGAGCAGCAGGAGCTTGGAGGGGAGTTGGGGGACGCTTCCTTCTCCTCCTGACGCGGACTTCTGGGGGACTAGGCGGATTCCGCTCTGCCCCCTGGTGGTGAGCGCCAAGGGCCTTGGGGGGGAGGGGGGAGGGGTGTTGGGGGGAAAGGGGATGTTGGAGGGAAGAGCGGTGTTGGGTGGAGGGAGAAGGGTGGAGAGAGGTTTGGGTGAGATAGGTACCATAGGTGCGAGGTAAAACAGGGGGCATATGTACACTGCTTCCAATGATATCACACCTGTTGGCTCTTGCACCACTCTTTCCTTTTCACATGACATGACCTCTCTCCCAAACCTCTTCCACCCTTTCCTCCCTCCCAACTCTCCTTTTTCACTATGATGGATTATACGCGTTTAGCGTATATATGCGTATCGTATATACGCTAGCGTGTATACGCCATACGCTTGAGGGTCGGATCAGGCATACGCTTTTTCGGGCAGGGAAAAAACATTTCGGGCAGGGTGGAAAAAATCCCTATCGGTGGAAAAAACATCTCACTAAGACGTGCCCTAGCATTTTCCTGAGTCCGATCGGCGGGTGGGGTGGGGCGGGGAGTAGACATCATAGCTATAGGGAGTAGTGTTGGAGAGGCTGTTCAAGTTGGAGTGCGCGCGCGGGGACACTGCTGCAAGCGGGAATGCAAGGTAGGAATGACGGGTTAGGAGTTGGGCTGGCTGGTAAGAGGTTTGTTGGGGGTTTGATTTTGATAGGTTGGAGTTCGTAGATAAGATGGTTTTCAATGCGGTAGAGGAGATGGGTTCAAATGCCTAGATGGGACCTGAAATTCGACATTTGAATAGCCAGATGTGCCTGAAAACTTCGAAGTCAGATCCCAGCTTGCATAGACCGCGGATTTGCATTTCGACTCCAGCGAAATGTTCACCAAGAAAATCCGCATCTTTTCCCGATTTTACTTTTCCGGGCTGCCCGAAAAAACATGGCTGCGTATTGCGTATTTGCTAGCGTTTAGCGTATTGCGTGTACACGCTAGCGTAGATACGCTAAACGCAAAGGGTCTAGAGCGTATAATCCAACATAGCTTTTTCACCCACCCATGCAACACCAGCTGCATGAGCGCGACACAATAGGGGACGACGGCACGGGCTGTCTGCAGGTGGACTTTGCGAATGCCTTTCTGGGCGACGGCACGCTGGGAGCGGGGTGCGTGCAGGAGGAGATTCGTTTCGTCATCTGCCCGGAGCTTATCGTCGGAATGCTTTTTCTGCCCGCCATGGAGGACAACGAGACGATTGAGATTGTGGGGTCCGAGCGGTCTTAGTATCGTAAGCACCTTAGTCGGCAATAGTCTACTTGCTATCGCCCATCGTGTTCTCCACGATCTCCCGAATCCAATGATATGCGCAGCTCTGCTTGAAGTTGTCAATACACACTTCAGCAATTTTCAGAATCTGATTGGTATGATTTCCAGAATGAGTACAAGCTGTTGTGAAAACAAAGAACGAGAATGGAATGACTATGAACGAAGTGAGTACAAATAGGAAACCCTAATTGGGTTGTACCCCCTATGGGATACCCCACTATAGCCTACAGAAACAAGTAAGCTATAAGTTCTGACACACCCCCATAGGCAAAGTGGGGGAGAACAAGGGGTCACAAGACCAGTTAAGCAAAGCAAAACAAAGCTCAGGGTGGATCACAAAGTCACCACGCATTCCGAGCACAAGTTCAAAGGCCACAAGGCCAGTTCACATGCAAGATCATATATAGAGATATACAAGAACAAGAGTATATATATGCGAAAGTACAAGCAAGGTCAAGAGGAGAGCAAGTGAGGCAAGACAGGCACAAGACCCAACTGCGTGCAGCAACGCTGATGATCACAAGGCGCAAGTGCCTTGGTGAAGACATCAGCAGTGTTGGCCTCAGAGGCCACGTACGCAAGTCGCAGCTGTCCACGCTGCTGTAGCTCACGAGCAAGAAAGTAACGAAGAGCAATGTGCTTCGTTCTGTGCTCCAGTCGCTGCTCTCGACACAAGGCCAGCATGGCCTTGTTGTCTACGTACAGGACTGGAGGAGAACGAGGCTGCTCTCCAAGGTCGGTCAGCAGGTAGGTGAGCCAGCGTAACTCCTGTGCAGCCATAGCCCCAGCGTAGATCTCAGCCTCACAACTGGAGCCGAGAACAGAAGACGAGCGGGTAGCCCGCCACGAGACAGAGCCGGAACCAAGGCTGAAGGTGTAACCCTGTGACGACCGCTGCGTAGCCTGGTCGTCAGCCCAAGAAGCGTCTGCGTGCCCAGTGAGGACCACTGGACTGCGCCCTCCAAGCACTAGCCCCATGCCCGACGTACTGCACAAGTAGCGCAACACCCTCTTCGCTGCAGCCATGTGCTCTGGTCGGTGTCTCCCAGGAGCAACAAAGCGTGCGAGAATGCTAAGAGGGTATGCGAGGTCAGGTCGTGTGCAGGTCATCAGGTACATGAGGCAGCCAACAAGCTCTGCAAACGGGCCACTCGACTCTACGGACTCATCCGAAGGCAGAGCTGAGAGCGAGTGGCGAGTAGGCAGAGGAGTGGCCTGAGGCGAGGAGTACGTGAAGCCGAAGCGCTGAAGGACCTGCTGCACCATGTGTGACTGAGTCAGGGTAATGGTGCGGCGTGCTCTGTCCCGGGTGATCTGCAAGCCAAGGTAGCTGCGCAGTTCACCCAGGTCAGTGCACGTGTGTCTCTTCTGCAGCTCGGACTTCACGTAGGCGAGTCCAGCAGTGTCAGCTGTGGCAAAGACCAAGTCGTCAACGTACACGAGGATGTAGAACGGCGGCAGAGAGGTGTCGGTGCGCAGAAACAGCGACGGGTCGGCAGTGGAAGGAGCAAACCCAAGTGCCGCGAGCGTAGTCCTCAGTGTGTCGTGCCACTCACGTGGCGCCTGGCGGAGACCGTAGACTGGACGCCGGAGACTCCACTGGGTACCAGGAGGGAAAGACCCAGTGAAGCCAGGTGGGCGACGCAGCCAGATCTCCTCGTGCAGGCTGCCCTGCAAGAAAGCTGTGCTGAAGTCGAGAGAGTGCAGCTCGTAGTCACGGTGAGCAGCAACGTGTAGCAGATACCGAAGAGTGGTCATCTTCGGGGTGGGGGAGAAGGTCTGAAAGTAGTCAACCCCCTGCCGCTGACTGAAGCCACGAGCCACGTAACGCGCCTTGAAGACAGGCGGAGAACCCGGCGGCCGCTTCACCCTGAAAATCCACATGCCACTGACGATGTTCGCCCCAGGAGGGGGAACAGCGTCAACGTAGGTGCCTGTGGACTTCCAGGAAGCCATCTCTGCATCCATAGCTGCCTGCCACTGAGAGGAGTAGGGACCCTCTATGGCCTCCGCGTAAGAGCGCGGAGTCGGGATGTCTGGTGCATCCGGGTCTCCCTCAGGGGCTGGCAGTACAGACGCGAGACGAGGTGAAGCGGCGGCCAGACACTGGAACTCCTCCTGCCTGTCCTCAAGGACGTCCGTGCCAAGGGCACACTCACCCCCGACGGACGGAGGACAGGCGGACTCAGACTCAGTGACAAGACGAGCAGCGTAGTCTAGACGACAGCGCGCAGCAAAGTCGACAAGCTCAGTGACAAGGGCAGACGCAGCAGACGACTCGAAGGAGGGGTCAGTGACAGCAGTAGCCAGGAGACGCGTGACAGTAGGACTGGCAGCACGAAGGGCGTCGGACTCCGGGTCGGCAAGAGCAGGAAGAGAGGAAGCAGGAGGAGAAGGCAAAGGGGCACGCAGAGGAGCAGTGGACGGACGCAGTGACATCCGGTGCGTGCCAGGGACAGGAGGAAGACGCTGACGCGACCCGCGACCACTAGCGCGCTCAGTACGAACAGGCGACACAGGACGAGACGCAGGCTCACGACGCTCAGTAAGACCTCCAGTCGGACCAGCGTAGGGAGAAGGAGCAGGCAAAGGGGAGGCAGGCTGTAGCTGTGGCTGTGACCGGACAGGCTGCGGACCCTCTAAGGGAGGAGGAGGAGGTGTAAGACCAAGAACCTGCTGCAGGAGCGGAACGAAGTACGGTCGGGGCCGCGCGGCGACGCTAGAAACAGCAGGAACAGCACCAGCAGCCCCGGCAGGAGCACCCACTCCAGTAGCACCTCCAGCAGCACCACCAGAAGCTCCAGAACCTCCAGCCGCAGCACCAGGAGCACTGTCAGTCGGGCCGCCAACGGCAGGCTCAGCACCAACACCCTCAGCAGGACCAGCTCCAGGAGAACTCTCAGACTCAGCAGCTCCAGCACCCACAGTACGAGCGCCGGCGGGGCGCGCAGCAGCAGTACCCTCTGCAGCCGAAGAACCACCAGCACCAGCAGCACGCCTCCAGCGCCCGGCAAACCACTCACGCAGCTCCTGTGGGGAGAGTGGCTCCCGGCGAGACGAAGCACCCCCAGGCACAGCACCTCCAGGCTCAGCACCCCTAGACACAGCACCCCCAGGCTCAGCACCCCCAGGCTCAGCAACCCCAGGCTCAGCACCCCCAGGCTCAGCACCCCCAGGCACAGCACCCCCAGACTCGGCACCTCCAGACTCAGCACTCCCAGGCACAGCACCCCCAGGCTCAGCACCCCCAGGCGCAGCACCCCCAGACTCGGCACCTCCAGGCTCAGCACCCCCAGACTCCGCACCCCCAGGCTCAGCTCCCGCAGCAGCACCAGAGTCACCAGTGACCTCGACAGGCTCGACCGCGTCTACCTGGGACACACCTGAAGGGGCAGGACCCTGAGGGGGGAGGGGGACTACCGGGGGGGGACCTGGTACCAAGAAGAGCGGGGGTGGGGGGAGGGACGGAGTGCGGTAGGGGAAGAGGCGGTAGTAGGGTACCGACTCGTCGAACGTG